AAAAGATACATGATCGCCCCTGTCCGTCTTAAATGGCTCTTCTACTTTCACCAACACGGGGACTTCCCGCGTTTTCACGAATGTTTTTTTTTTTTTTTTTTTTGCTTTTTTTCCTATTGTTCTGTTGTTTTTTACTCTTTCTATCGTTTTTTTTCTCTTTCTCTCTCTCTCTCTCTCTCTCTCTCTCTCCTAAAAACAATGGCTGTCCCTTTTCATCTTCCTCTTGTAGTCTCTCTCGTTTTCTCTCTCATTATTGTTTCGTGTCAGTTTCTCTCTCTTCCTCTTTCACTCTCTATATTTCCCTTCGCTAAATGTTTTCGGTTTCTTCCTCCTATAAAATACTACTAATTCTAATTTAGTCAGCACGTCTCTCTATATATCTTCTAGACTTTTCATTGATTTTTTTCTCGTCTACAAATACTGCTTCTTTTTATTCTCTTCCTCTTCTATCTACAGCGTGTGATGGATAAATTGTCGCCATTTTATATTTTTTAATTTCGTGCATGCGCGTTGTTCGGTTCTGATTTTGTCTACTGCACAGAATAGTAAGGTCAGTTGTACATCGTCTGTGAGAAGAAAAGCACCATGACGCAATTCACTCCGCCAAAAATTTAGAATCGACATGCTGTACCGCTTGGCATTCGAACCGGAAGCTCCAATACGAACGCTTCGGAGTGTTCGAGTATCATGGCTGTCAGACAATTTATGCGACCACGTCACCCGTTACATCTGGCCACCTAACTCTCAAGACTAAAATGCCTTTGATTATTATGTAGCTATATTCAGTTCCCTGTTGTTTCACTATGAATAAATAATAAGCCTTCCTGTCTCAGCAATCCTCGAATATATACTAAAGCGACAACAGTTTTGTAAATAGTTTTTCCCGTCTTCACTTTATATATATATATATATGTGTGTGTGTGTGTGTGTGTGTGTGTGTGTGTGTGTGTGTGTAAGCAAATATATGGATATAGATCCGACAGTATGAAGAAAAATATATACGGAAAAAACAAACAAAAATCTTTATATACAATTATGCTGTTTTAATGTTAATTTGTCAACGTCGGACGTTTCGGTCTAATAAACCATCTTCAGGACATATTCATAAATTATAACATTATCAATACAACATGACAAAGACGATGTACATAAGAACAAGACTTATCCAAACAGAGCGCAGATCTTATAAAACTTTCAGTTATCTGTTTGGATAAGTCTTGTTAGCTATTGGATACTGTTTCACATATACATAGTCGCCAATATTTTTAGTGGATTGACAACTGAGCAGAATTTACGGAATGTGACTTGTCGCAAACATGTCGGCTTGTTTGTGCTCGCATCTGCTGTTTGGTCTCCCAAAGTGATCGATAAGCATCGATAGATGTCGGCGGGGTTCCAGGTTTCTATATGAAAAATTCAATATGTTATGTACTTTGTACTTTGCTAGGTACTTTGATGACAGACACAATTTTACCAGACTTATAACAAGGGAAACATTATAGGTTATTATCGGAAATGTTCAACATTCATCATTTTCTTATGTCGTGGTTCAAGATAGAATGGGAGGTATTTTCTACGGAGCATCCCTCAAAACACACACACGCACACACACATATATATATATTATATTATATACATATATATATATAGATAGATAGATAGATAGATAGATAGATAGATAGAGAGAGAGAGAAACTCAATATAAATATGAAATTTGTCATTAGCTGATTAATATTATATTCGACTTCAAAGTTTAACAATCGCTACGTTCTCTCCTTAGTAGTTACAAGCAATTGACTACTTATTTTCTCTTTTTCGTTATTTTTATTTTAAGAAATAATTTATACACATTCTATTGATGTAAATTTGATTTTTCTTCTTCTTTCCTTGTATATGTGTATGCTTGGTTGTGCGTGTGTGTTCATCTGTGTGTGTGAACAAATGTATTCTCGAGTGTGGACGTGTATATATATATATATATATATATATATATATATATATATATATATATATATATATATATATATATATCTTTAATATGTGATTAGAACAAAAACATGTTGAAATCGCTACACGATAGCTTTCACGTTTCGGCACTTTGCGTCTCTTCATGCGATGGGAAGGAACTGGTGATTAAATGATTTTAAGAAAATTTCAAAAGCAAAGTGTTTGTTCCTTTTCCGAAAGTTAACGGGTGGGGTGAGGAAAGACAAGGTCAGAATTAAAAATAGACTTGTGGGTTTGTCCTGATCAACCAGTTAAATATCAGATCTGTGCTAAATAGAAAATTAAGTTCAGAGGATGGATTTGAAGGGAATTATTTTTTTCATGACATGATAAGCCGGAACTTAGACAGGTCAGCATTGACAATTGCTAGTGGCTAGAGAAACATCGTCTCCTGAGCTTCTTCAACGAAGTAACAGTTCTGGAGAAGAAGCTGTCTGAAAGGAACTTACTCCTTACCAAAGGAACACCAAGGGAATAACAGCATTTGCCATCGTAAACATGACATGACTGTCCCTAGCTATAAAGATCGAAGTTAGTGGGACGAAGGAATGTCACTCGTTTGAACATCCGCCATATTAATCGGATGGAGTTTCGAGTGTGTGGTCGCGCACAAAGGGCGGTAGAAATAATATTTCCATGATCGTGGTTGTTATTGATCCCTGCATTTTCTTTTCTTTTTTTTTTTTTTGCCATGCGCGTTAAGATTTTAGGCTTTATTATCTGTAAATTACCATGAATTTCTGGTAACGAGAGGAGAGTGGTTTCCCGTTACCTTTTCTAAAAATCTGAATTCACAGAAGTCTTTCTCCTTCACTTGCTGCTACGGAAGGCACAAGATCTTAATATATTTCCTTCTTAAAAGAAACTGATTCATGTCTTTTCCCAAGGTTATTTGTGCCAAGTAAACGTAACAGACTCTGACAAAGATTTGAACCCAGCTCTCCGAATCTATTTTCCATGTCTCTAACCCTTACGGTACTTATATATCCTATTTTCTTACCTACTGTATTCGGCTTTTAGATTAAAAGTTATGTTTACGTTATCTGCGATATCACAACTTGCATAAACAGTGAATATTAAATAAAAAGCGAAACGCAAATAGCTATTAAGCAAATAACAAAATCCATTCTTGTTTGCAAATGAAATCTAGCAAGTATGATTTGCAAACTTTGGTTCATAATTTAGACTATATAAATATACGTATTTACAAAAACATACGCCATGAACAGGTTTGTGAAGAGAGTGGGAGATTTTGTAAAAGTGTAAGAATGAAAATCTGATATTCAGAAAAGTGCAAGCAATTGATTTGGAAATATATAATTGGATTAAATTGCTGACTTAAGCCTCTCTCTCTCTCTCTCTCTCTCTATATATATATATATATATATATATATATATATATATATATATATAGATAGATAGATAGATAGATAGATAGATAGATAAAGAGAGTGAGAGAGAGCTGGAAGGGTTGAGTGGATGCATAAAATATGAGACAAGCTGAAGAATAATTGTGCGTGCATACACTAATCTAATTGCACATATGTAAAGCACACACAAACACACACACACACACACACACACACACATATATATATATATATATATATATATATATATATATATATATATATATATATATATATATATGCATCTGTGTATCATTGTATATATGTACAGACAAAATCTTTCATTGATATATGCATATAAATCTATCATACTACAAACCAGTTAAAATTTTATACATATATATATATATATATATGAGTTTATCAATAATTTCTTAGCCTGAAACGTAGTTACTAGAAGAATTTTGATTTCAAATTTTCGCTGTATATGTTACGATCCATGCGTTTAATATTAAACAAAATTAATTTCCTTGGTTATTAAGGCTAGCATTTTAAAATGAGTTTTGGGCAAAATATATGCCCTTTATATCATTAGGTTATGGACAGTGAGGTTAATATCGAGCGGCGACTGTCTGTTTCATGCTACAACCCTATCTTATGTTCATGTTATGTTTTGCATCGACTATTATATTTTAATACTTGAGCCAAAACGAAGGACACTTTTGTTTCATGCTTGAATGTAATATTCAGGCTATGCGCATTGTGATTTGGTTCAGCTATTATATTATTATAATTGTCGATATATATATATATATATATATATATATATATATATATATATATATATATATATATATATATTTGGTTGGATAGATGTGAGTTTGTGACCCTGGGTTTCACGCTTTAACGATCGTCAGACAAACTGATTAATGTTTTAAAAAATTTGGGTTCATGTAGATTGCGTGTATTATGTTAGCTCTATCTCTGATATTGAGCGCTTTCTAATAAGTACCTAGCATATAATAATATATAAATAATTATACATATATATATTTATTTATATTTATATACACTTTTCACACACACACACACACACACACACATATATATATATATATATATATATATATATATATATATATATATAGGGAATAAGAAATTAACGGATATATATACATGTGTGTGTGTGTGTGTTAGAAATTAGGAGGATTTGAGGTAATTAAGTAATTCATCTAGTCTAAAAGAAACCTCATTAGGATGCAGAAAGCACTGGACAGCCGTTTCGTCCTATATTTGGGACTCATCAGCAGTGCGCATCCACTACCGAGAATTGAAGCCAGGAGAGTTACGTTATCAGGCAAACATTATACCAACTGTTCCAACGGGCCGTATTTTCGTCTATGAGACCTGGGTTCGAATCTCACTATAGTCGATTTGTCAAAAAGGTGACTTCTTTTGCTATCGGCCTGGTGGAAAAAAAAAAAAAAAAAACATATCACTGATTGACTCAAGTATTGTGAGTGAAATTGTGCAGACAGAACGATTTGAGAATCGTCAATCTTTGTGCTAGCAGATAGTCACAAAACTCCGTGACCGAGAGTTGGGGCCTGCTGGCCTTGTTCAGACTGTTGGTCACACTAGATAATGCTCTCTCTCTCTCTCTCTCTCTCTCTCTCTCTCTCTCTCCTCTCTCTCTCTCTCCCAGAAACTAATGTCCGCTCAGCATAGTTGCATTATAAACCACAAGAAATAAAAAAAATGTGCCTGAGCAGCCGACCTCGTAGATATGTATACTAAGATACGAATGGCCAACCATAAAAGATGGTATTAAGGAAGTTGCCGTAATTAAATCATTTCAGTAAGTTTAATCCTTTTCCTGTCAACTCACTGTACGAGTGATGCGGCTAACACGTAGCTCAGTTCAGCATGCCGCATGTTCCGCTCATTGGCAAATAAACTGGTGTGAATGGCGTCTCGACGCCTAGCAGGATTAAAAACACGACCTGTCAAACGGAGGATAAACCTTACTGTAGGGCTAAAGATAAGACTGAACTCCACACACACACACACACACACACACACATATATATATATATATATATATATATATATATATATATATATATATATATATATATATATCACGGATTCGATTCACTCAAAAAGATTTCATCTATATGAATACAACAAATACAAAAAAAAAAAGGAATTAATTAGTATATTTGAGCAAATATATCGATTTCAATATAATTAAAAATTCTAATTAGTACTTATTGCATTCCACGAAAAATATATAGGAATTATTTGTGGAGTATATATTTTGCTGTCCCTCACAGAAGAATCTGTAACAACCCAGAATTGGTACAAGCATTTTCAGATCATTCTCAGGTAGATTGATGAATCATAAATAACGTGAAAACGAGCTTGTGTGAACTAGTGATGGATCGGGTGGCAGAAGGTTATGTAAAGAGAAAAACTTTATTAAGGGCCACAAAGGATAAAATGTTGTGAAGGGCTTTTATCGACCACGCCCTGAAAGTACAGATTTTTGGTTTAGTTGTTTTTGTTTAGCGGTATATCAACACCTCTATAGGTTATTTCATGCCGAAAGCTAAATATTTTGTACGCTATTTTATGCCTTCAACTACAGATATTTTGTATATAATTTTATAATTCCAGGGTAATTCCTTAAGATACGCTACCTATTCGACTTTCAACATAGTTATATGGAAGCAACAAGTCTGGGACTTGTCTGCAGCATCCCTATGACCACGAGGATGATGTTAGAATATTATAATATATCATTATAATAATTATAAAATAATAATTTATGCTTACTAGCTTTGCCAATATTCTATTTTATAATATTAACATTTCTGACATCTCTTTCTCGCAACGCGGTGATCTAAATGATAAGGTCGTTACCACTTTCAGAGATATAATATCTTCTTTTAAATAACTAAGCAATTATAAAAGCTATAAAAAAATCGGTTATTTATAACTGGATATAAAATATAATTTTTAATATGTGATTCCTCAAGTGGAATATTTAAATTAGTTTTCTCCATTAATCAAAAAACACTATGTTGAGCAAGATATAAGACATTCGCTGTTTGATATTGTTGAAACTTGTCTAATGCATGGAATAATAATACAACACAAAATGTACTTAGAACAAAATGTATTGAAACAAGAAAGTGTACACAATATTTACATATAGTCTTTTGTATAATCTTGGGAAGACCGTTCCTGGAGAATATGTTGACTTAGTCGCAGTCGGGCAGAGTCTCTGGATTGAATCTCTTGATTCCTTCCCTCGTCTTCCCGGTACCAACCATATTTATATGGTCGGTACTCCACTATGCAAATTAGGTGGATCCTACCACAACAATATATAAATACCAAATTATTTCCATTCGGACTAATGTCTTCATATTTATTATCATGTTTCAGCTGTTGTGCTATCTGGCCTTCTTCAGGTGTCTGTCAAACTAGGTAATCTTCAGAGAATTCCAAACTGAACACTCTGTTTAATCTATGGAGGCAGACTGTTCTAGTTCTGTCGTCTATATCTAGGAATATATCGTCTTGTTCTTATTGAACACTGCTCAGTTATTGCTCAGTGTCTAATTCCTCGTGATGACTTTGATCAGACTGTTGATCACGCCAGGTGAAGTGCTTTCTCCCAGAAAGTGAAACTATGTAAGTTCCGTTCACCGTAGTTACAATATAAACCACAGGTTGACTCTGTGGATGTTAAATAAAGAGAAATGTACCTGAGCAGGCATCTGCAAAAGGGATTGGCTAGTCACCCTAGAAGACAGACATACTCGGGTACGAGCAGGCCGCCATAGAAAATGGCATTAAGGAAATTATCTTAATTAAAAGATTTCAATGTTTAATCATTTCCCTAATCATTTATTTCATAACTTGGTATACTTAGCATCAGTCCCTCTACGAGAGATACTGCTACCATTTAACCCAGTACAACCTGCCACATATTCGATCTCGGCACTGAATTCGCAAAGACTATGTCACGAAACTAACGAACCAATACTTTAAGCCGCTGATTAATAGTCGTAATTTAGTTTATGGTACCTCGAAGTGGTGTGATGGTTAACGAGCTTATCTCGCTAGATCAATTTACGACTGAATAATGAGTTCGATCCTCACTAGTTGTTCTTTACTTTCGTCCTTGTTCCACATCTAAGCTACGCTTATAAAATCATCTTGGGTACTTCAACGTGGCGTCATGGTTAACAAACTTGTCTCGCTAGATCAATTACGCCTGAATTGAGTGCCCCATACATTGGAGCTTAGAAATCATCTTCGGTACTTTCACGTGGTGTAATAATTAACAAGCTTGTCTCGTTAGATCAATTACGAGAGAAAAGTGAATTCGTTCTTCACTGAGTGTCCTATACTTTCGCCCTTGTGCCACATCTAAGCTATCCTTATAAAATGATCTTGAGCATTCGACGTCGGGTAATGGTTAACAAACTTGTCTCGCTAGATCAATTTACGCCAGAATAGTGAGTTCGATCCTCATTGAGTTCCCCATACTTTCGAACTCAGAAAATCATCTTCGGTAATTCTACGTGGTGTAATGACTAACAAGCTTGTATCCTTAGATCAATTACGTGTAAACAATGAGTTCGTTCCTCACTGAGTGACCCTTTGTGCCACATCTAAGCTACGCTCAGAAAATCAGTCAGTCAGTTATGTGCGATGCGCGATACACACTTAGGCGATCATGTATCTTTCGATACATGACTGACGAGGCAGATTTTTCCCGCAGTATTTTGCCACCCATGGCTATAGAACCCGGTCTGTCCTGCTATTTACCCATAGCTGGTGATGAAGAAGAGGATTCGTATCTTTCCCAAGGGTAATAGCACGTAAATGAATATAATGGATTCGACTGGAATTCGAACTCGGCTCTCCGATTCCTCAATAATCCACTGTGCCTCCCTAAGAAAAGCACAATGGTTTTAATTTAGTAGCAGACTGGTGAGATATTGATGGCAAAAGTTTATTTCGTTTGCCATGTTTTCGTTTGTATCAACCACCATTTTCGATTAAATCACGATTTTTCTTTCTTTACTGTGAATTAATATTTGCTTTTTATTATTTTGTTTTTTTTTTCTTTTCTTTTCGGCGTTTACTTTCTCGTTCTGTCCACATTTTGTGTTTAACTTCCTACTCGCTTTTCCTTGTCTTCACTTCCTTTATTTTCCTGCCTCCTTTCCATTTTTATTTCGCTTTTTATTCCTTTAAATCAGGATTACGTATAAAACAAGCTCGCCTCCAGCTTCAGCAGTTCACGTTCGAATTCCAGGATATGGAATGATTTCGAATACCAAATTTCACGACAACCGAACCGTTTCGCCTTGGGTTATCAAGCACAGAACAATAATAAGCACACACTTCGACGTGCAAAAATACACTGAAAACGAAAATGGTGATCAAAGCCGATTGGATGTAGTTTTTAGTCTATTTGCTAAGGATTCTTCCATTTCTTTATTTTCTTCATTTTTTCTTCTTCTTTCTAATCAAACTCTGCATCTACGTTTTTTCTTCCCTAATCAAGTTTTTTTTTTCATAGAACAAACTCTGACCCTGTTTTAACGATGTGATAAAATCAATAATTAGTCTTTTGAAATAACTTTAAGCTTCAAGGCAATGACTTTCCGTGACTCTTGTCGCTTCCTTGTTGAATTTTTTCTCAGTAAGACACGCCTTTGTTTTTCTTTCATCGTTTCGAATATCATTTCTCATCCTGTCTTTTTCTCAAATATTCACATCCTTAACTTATCATTGAACTTTCTTTCTTTCTTTCTTTTTCTTTCTTTCTTTTTTTTTATTCTTTCATTAATCTTTTTCTCTTTTTCATTAATCTTTTTCTTTTCTTCTCTATCTATCTATCTATCTATCTATCTATCTATCTTATATATATATATATATATATATATATATATATATATGTGTGTGTGTGTGTGTGTGTGTGTGTGTGTGTGTGTGTGTGTGTGTTGTGGATTCCGTGAATGGAATCCTGCACAAATAAATAAACAACGCCATAAATTGAGATAGAAAAATAAGTGTATTAAACGTAAGAATACAGACTTGAAGTGAAGATTAGTAGTCCATGAATGCGGGTTAGTAGGAAGTATATGTACAAGTCTCTGTAAGTAAAGCAAAAATCATCTCTCTCTCTCTCTCTCTCTCTTTCTCTCTCTCTCTCTCGACTCTTGTATAACTCTCTGAGAACACCCTGTGTCTGTCTCCGTATCTCTCCTGTCTCAACGTATCTCGATATTTAACAGTCCACCCACGAGGAATGTATGTGGCACAAGGCCGAGTTTAACGTGGGTTTCTCCGAGCCAGTAGGCTCAGCAAAAAAATATCCCCTTTGAACCCGCATAAGCTGGTTCAGGAACTGTCTACCTCCCCGGACGAAATTTTGCCCCTCGGCAAAGCTTCGTCCAAGTTCCTCTCTGCCAATGCAGAGAGTTCGACAGTTTGGGAGGCAATTTTCCCACCCTACTGCAACTACGGATTCCTGTATCCCATTTTTCGTACTCTCTTAAAACACTTCCAACATCTTTAAACTTCTGTACTTGTTTCATTTTAACATCTCCGTTCTGTTAATTAGAAGTGTCTATTTTATCTCCATTTTCTCTAAAACTTCGTCGTTATTCACATGTTCAATCCATGGTATTCTCAGCATCCTTCTGTAGAACCACATTTCTGTTGCATTTCTGTCTTATAGGACGACCGATATTACGTAATAGTTCAGTATTCTTTTCTCTGTTTCTTACGAAATTTTCATGCTTCCTAATATTTTGCTAAGCTTTTCGCAATGGGCTTTGGATTTCAGATTCATATTTTTTGTTTTCTGATAAAACAATACTTATGTCGTTCGAGTCACGCTTTCAAAACTATAATCCTATCGTATATGCTGAGCTACGCAACACTGTCCTCTTGGTAATTCTGACCACTTTGTGATAGCTATTGATATTTCGTTCCAACCCTCTATTAAACAGAAACACCCTATCCACAAGACCTCTTTCCGTTGCCAGCATTCTGATTAGGACTCACTCCATGATTTTTTCCGTGACGCCCCTTAGACTGATATATTTAAACTCCCAATTGAAAATTGCGCAACTGAGGTTTCATCTTGGGTCAAAGGCGGCATGGGCATTTTCATCCTTTCTCGGAAATACCATCTGAAACCGCAACCCTTTCCATGGTTCACACCAGTATGTTCGGCCACTGTAGCATACAGGAACCACTATTTTCGGGTATACCGGTGTGAGGGCTCTTGTCAAAACAGGCACCTATTCGTTGCTGTTCGGAATAAATGTAAGCGAGACCGCGAATGAGTAAAGTCCTTGTTTGCCGAAAGAATGAGACACCGCATGACCTCTAACAACTTTGGCTCCCGCGATTACTGACGGATCCGTTATAGGGTATTAAATAAGTTTAAAGCCTCTATTCCTCCCTTCTTCAATCAATATGAGGTGTTATCATCCTCCGCTGATAAAACTGAACGCTTTGCCCGTAGATTCTCCTCAAACTCTACTCTTGACTCATCTGGAGTATCCCTGCCTAATTTCCCTCCTAGAAGTGAGTCTCTGTTGAGTGATATGCGTATAAACCCATCCATGGTTTCTACTATCATCTCTAACCTAGATCCCCTTAAAGCGTGTGAACCTGATGGCATCCCTGTAACAGTCATTAAAACGTGTGCTCTCCCTGAACTGTATAATAAATGCCTCGCTGTCGCTTGCTCCCCTGTCAGCTGGAAGTCATCATTTGTTGTTCCAGCTTTTAAGGACTCTCTTGATCCGCCCGACCTTTCTAACTATCGGCCTATTAGCCTTTTACCTCCGTTTGGGAAAGCCCTATATGTTCTAATCAATGATAAATTGCTTCATCATCACTTATCGGAGGGTCTTTTCTGAGACAGGCAATATGGCTTTCGTTTCTCCAGATCAACTGCTGATATATAGACCACAATTGCGGAAAGAGTCTATCATGCTTTAGATAAAAAAATATTTTTATCAGAATATCTCAAAGGATTTAGCAGTGATTCTTACGAAAAAATGGTGTCAAGTTGGCTAAAACGTCTTATCTGAAAACCTGTATAAAAGAAACCCAATTAGTTTAGTGTCTTTTTTTTTTAAGATATTAAACTTTTTTTCAGATTATGACGGTCTGTCAGTTAGGCTTAGTATTAAACTGCTAGACTAGACTAACAGATAATTTGATTATAGTAGTAATAATCATGAAATTGTTCACAATGTACTACGAATTCTCCAAACAGCCGTCTTCAAGTTTAAACCCAAATTTCTTTTGCTATATTGACTGCCAACCCAGGTAAGAAGGTTCATTCTGTACTGCTGTTTAACCCATGATTTTTTAATGGTATTAGCGCGAATTGAGCGATAAAGAATCAACCGGAATTTGTAATTGGCTCGGCTATTTTAATTTCCGCGCCGATAGCGCTTACCATTTCCGCCCATTCATCATTCCAATTACCCGTCTCTCTCTATATCTATCTATCTATCTATCTATCTATCTATATATATATATATATATATATATATAAAGAAATATAGTCTTAAGGTGTGCTATATTTATGGAATAAAGTGCTATATTTATGGAAAATAAAAGTGAAACAAATTTTTACTACGTTAATAAATAAATAAAATAAGAAACAAAAATAAAAACGAGCAATATAATTTGACCCAAATAAATAAACAAACGTCTTCCGTTAAAATAACCGCCATAATAGAATACCCACAATGCACCACTAACCCGTATATATATAAATAGCCGAGAAAAATAACAGATTACGTGACCTGACGATTGCATATAGCATGAAACAGACTGTCACCTCTAAGTGTTGACTTCTATGTTCACTTTTATATATATATATATATATATATATATATATATATATATAGAGAGAGAGAGAGAGAGAGATAGATAGATAACGAGAATAGAGAGAGAAAGCGGGAGAGAGGGAAAGAGAGATTAACAGATTTAGATAGACATGGACTGTCTGAGATATAAAGATAGATAGTAATTAACACATTTAGATAGATAGATAGAAAGAAAGAAAGAAAGAAAGAAAGAAAGAAAGAAAGAAATGGCTAATGGATTCGTCGAAAGCGGTTGGGGGTGGCATATGGACATTCTCTACACACTCTTCGTCCTCATAAAAAGACCATTGCAAAACTCAATAAAAATCTTATAAAACTTTCCTTATTCGTCACATTCAATGAATCGTATGAAAAAGAAAGATTACTGCCGAAATATACAACAGATAGATAGAAATATGTTTTTGATTGCGCGCAAATACATTGAGGATGTCTATTGATTTTTTAAACTACTCCGTTTCTGTCTTCATTTCTCATTCTTTCTATCTCTTCCTCATATTTTATCTTTTTTCCCTCTCTTTCTTTTTCATTTTATTTTATCTACGTTTCTTTATTTCATTCCGCTTGATTATATTTTGTTAACTACTTCATCTTCTCTTTTACGTTTCAATCCCCACCCTCATTTTCTCTGTCTCTACCCTCAGCCCCTTCTCGAAATTGTCCCGATCTTCTTTTCAACGTCTCCCTTTATTAAACTCCTTAACGACTTTTGTTGCTTCAAGTTAACGAGAAAATAATTAATAACGTTGCAGAGTGAAAATTTTTCTGTAAATTAGTTTCGAGTGTTGATTAAATCAATGAGCCTTGCCCAAAATTATTAAAGAACAATGGCTTCTTTGTCTTTGACTAGTCAATCATCCTGTACACAATGCCGACAAATGGATGGACGAATATTTGGTCGATCGCTTGGTTGGATGGTCGGTCGAATGGTCAACAATGGCAACTCATCAAAGCCATTACTCGCCATCATTATGATCATAAAATAGCACCCTTATCACTTTTTTATCACTATCATCAATTTTATGATTCTAATACACTATCTTTTCTCGCACATATTCTTTGTTTTCTTCGTCGCTTTACCCGCCATGTTTGTGTCGTTAGTACTTTAATTGTTTTCTTTCATTTCTTTGTCTTTCTTCTTTCTTATTTTCCTTCGTCTTTTATATTTTAATTCTTCTTTTTTTCTTTTACTCTCTTATTTTCTTTCCTCTCATTTTGTTTTTTTTTTTCTTTGATAGTTTCTATATTTTTAATTCCTTTTCCAGTCATGTCTTTTTTCTTTCCTTTCTCGTATATTTTTGTCGTATATTCTTTACAAGTTCCTCAATTTTTTTTTTTACCTTTCATTTCTTTTTTACTTCTTCATCTCATTCTATTCGTGATGTTTTCTTACCTACATTTTATTGTTAATTGTTTTTCTTCATTTTTTTTCGTTTCTCTTTCCTCTCTTCTTCATGTCTTTTCTTCCCCCTGTCCTTTTTTCATTCCTTCCTTGTAGGTTTTTCATTTACCTCTCTTTTCATCCTCTTTCTGTCCTACTTTTTCCATTTTTATTTTTTCTTCTTTCATGTATCTTTCTTTCCTTTCTTTTTTTTTTTCGTCTTTTCCACTTTTTCTATTTTTTTCTTTCACTTGTTCATTTTCCTTCTCCATCTTTTTATTTAGTTCTCTTTTTTACCTACATTTTATTCTTTTACTTCATTTCTTTCCTTTTTTTGTTTCTTTCCTCTTTTTTTTAATGCCTTTTCTTCTCTACTTTCTCTATTTTTGATACTTTTTCATTCGTTTCTTTTTGGGATTTTTCCGGGCTACTTTGGCTTGGTATCTACAAGGAAAATATCTACATTGAACAAATTTTATTTTGGAATGATATCTACATAGTAAAACATATTAAATCATATAAATAACATAAAGAAAATGTAATTAAAATATTAAAAATGTTTCTTTTATTTATATTCTAGTGATAAACAGCATGTTGATCGGTTAATATGGCTACACCGTAGAAATTTTAATTTGGAATATGTATCTACATAGTAAAACATACTGCTACTTTGGTTTATTATCTACAAGTAAAAGATAACAATTCAAAGTAGCATCTTTTTACTATGTAGATATCGTTCCAAATTAAAATTTGTACGGTGTAGATATTTTTTCCTTATTATATATTTATAATAGCAAGACAGAGTAGCACCGTTTATTCTTCTCTCTTTTATCGTCTTTTCTTTCTTACTTTCTCTGTTTATAAATACTTTACTTTCTTTTTTTCTTTTTGACGTCGTCTTTTCTTTACTTTTTTAATTCTTTTTCTTACACGTTTATTTCTATTTTAGCACCTCTTTTTGTTGTCTTTTTTCTCTACTTTCTACTTTTTAAAATTATTTTCCTTTCTCCTCTTTTTCTTCTTTTTAACGTCTTTCTTTTGTTGATTTTGGTTTCATACATTTTCGTTCATTCCTTTTTCTTCCCTCTTTTTTTCTACTTCTTGCTTAAATTATCTTCATTCTTGTTTTTTTTTATACTTTTTCTTTCATTTGTTTTCTTTATCTTCTCACTATTTCCGCCATCTTTTCTTTCTTTTTCATTTGCTTATCTTTCTGGTCTTTCCAATTTTCTTATCTTTTCGTGGTCTTTATCTTACCGAATCTTTCTTTTAAATACATTTTTCTCTCATTTCTTTGACTTTTCTAACCCTCTTTTCTTCATCTCTCTGTCACTATATTTTCTCTTTTTTATTCTTTTTTCTCATTTCTTTTTTCTTTTCTGTGATTTGCCTTTCATCTTCTCTTTCTTAACTGCTTCCTTCTTCCTTCTTTCTACGAAGAAGCTACCTTTAGTTTGTTAATCTCTATCTGTCTTCCCATACGAAATACGTTTGCTAAAATTAGCCTCGTATGGCACAATTCCCAATCATGGATTTTAGAGTGAGAAATGCAGTTATGGCGGTTGTTTCATACCAAGCTTCTAAACGATTAACATTTGAAAGTCTACATTCAAAGGGTCTTTTTGTAAAAGGGTTCAAGTACTGACCATTGGCACGAGTTTCAAACAAGCCACTATTTCAGCGCGTGTGATGCTAGACCGCACAAAAAGAAACAATATATCATATATTTATATGCATTATTATTGTTAATAATAATAAAAATATTTCCTTTGATTTATTTTGTATAGACATTTCCTTCCAAGTCCCAACCAGAAACCTGAAGTCAGAAATGGCATCATGACATTTTCAACTGATCATTTTTGTAATAAAAAAAGATCAAACACATTTTACATAGCTAGAGCTCTTCGTAATGTGTGAGCTATAGTTGTGAGTACAATTTGTTTGTATTTCTTTAAAGCATTGGCTACTAGGAATCCTTTCAATGAGTCTATCAGAACCTTTTCCAACCAATCCAAAGGCTCAATCTATAACTGAACGTATTGATGTCTTCAGGTGTTGCATTTTTTAGATTTCTACTTGAAGATATTTTGTATTGTCACACATGTTTTGAAGATCTTCAAGATGCATTACAATTTTCAAGGATTGCCATGTCAATAAGAAATGTACTATTATTATTATTATTATTTTTATTTTCTTTGATTTCTGGCGTTTACACATTTCTTTCCGGTTCCCGCCCAGGGACCTAAGGTTAGAAATGGCATCATGACACTTTCCACTGACAAAAAAAAAAAATATTACATAGATAAAGCCCTTCGTAAAGTGTGGGCTGTAATTGTCAGAACAATTTTTTGTATCTCCTTGAAGCATGGACTTCCAGGAATCCCTTCAATTAGTCTACAGCAATTTTTTTCCAACCAGTCCTAGGGCTCCAACTACAACAGGGATTGTTGATGTTCCCATATGCCACATTTTCGAAATTTCTATTTCAAGGTCGTTGTATTTTGACAACGTTTTGAATATCTTCAAAGATACATTGCAGTCAGCAGGGACTGCCATATCAATAAGGAGGCACCGTTTTTGTTTGTGGTCTTTAATAACAATATCTGGGCGGTTGGCCTTGATTGTTCTGTCAGTGTGTATTGTGTAGTCCCATAGAATTGTAACAGGTCCTATCTCCGTAACCAGGTCTGGGTGGTGTTCATACCAGTTTCTTTCAGTTTCCTTTCCGTAGAAGTTGCAGATTTTCCAGTGCAGATATTGGCCCACTCTGTCATGCCGGGTTTTATATTCAGTGGGTGCCAACACCGTGCAACCTGATACAAGATGATCAATCGTTTCTGGATATTTATCACAGAATCTGCATTTTGGGCTGACACAATATTTTAGTACATGTGCTTGATAATTCCTAGTTAGCAAGCATTGGCCCTGTGCAGCAAGGATAAAACCTTCAGTTTCCGCTTTCAACCCTGCACTACGTAGCCACTGATGGGTACGGGTTTTGTCTAGGTCAGCTTGTTTGGTACGGGCAGAGTATTGGCCATGAAGCGGTTTATCTTGCCATCGCTTCTGTATCTGATCGGTTTCATTCGTCTTTGCTGTCTTTTTTAAGTATTTTGCAGTTTCAGGCGGTTTATTGTGCTGTAGTTGCATCTCTACGCCCATTTGGAATTCCATTTTGAATTTGTTGACTTCTTTCATTACGGAGTAAAGACGCTTACTACTTTCATGTTCCTTGACGCATACCATCATCCAGTCTTCTGTAGTTTCCAAGTATCTTTGGAGGCCAACTGTTGTAGTTTTGTAGGACAGTTCTAGTTGAAGTAATCCTCTGCCTCCTTCGGATCTGGGCACATACAGACGATCAACATCAGCTTTGGGATGATGCATGCGATAGCAAGTGTGAATCTTTCTCGTTTTGGCGTCCATTCGCTTAATTTCAGCTATGGTCCAATTAAGGATGTTAAAGCTGTATTGCACCACAGGGACATCCAACGTGTTTATGGCTGATATCCTGTTTTTTGAGCTTAGCTCAGTATTTAGTACCAGACGTACACACCTGTAGTACTCTTTTCTTAATTTTTTCCTTCATTTGGGGGTGTTGTATGCCATCTCCTTCGCTAATTCCGAGGTACATATAAGCTTCCTCATGCTCCAGTTCCCTAATCTTTGTGACAAAATCTAAATCTATTAAGGGTGTTTCTGTAATTCTACCTTTCTTGAATGTTACATTTGCATATTTATCTAATTCGAAGTCCATACCTATGTCGTCACTGAAATATTTTACAATATTGAGGAGGCCTTTCAACTCATTGTCGTCTTTGGCAAAGAGTTTGAAATCATATTATTATTATTATTATTATTATTATTATTTTATAAAATAAAAGCTAGAATGTATAAAATCTTGGAAAATTCATATTGAATTTATTTTCATTATCATTACGAGAATTGTCAATTTCATCATTCTAATTAAACTAATTAAAGATATTTTATAATAATTATCACCTTAATAATTAATGCTGTCAATACACTTGTTATGTTTAAAACCGGAACCAATTTTGTTCAAATTTTGACTCGATCTTTTGGTATAAGGCTTTTTGGTATAAGATAAGCCAAGATACAAGTGAAAAATATCAACAGCCTTTGCTTGACCAAATGATCTTTAGTGCTAAATCTCAGAGAGCTTGAATGTCAGAGCATTTGCCAAGAAAATTGACATTTGCTTTCAGTCGGACAGATTCATACTTCCTGTTGCATATTAATGGTGTATTAAAGTATAAATATGCTGCGTAGTTTGGCTTTGCCAATACAGATGACAGATTTCATATTCTGGGTAAAAATCCGCTTATTACTTCATCTTCTAACTCTCATTGTTTTAATCTTCCTGCGTCTGTCATTATTACCTTTGTCTTCATTCACTCCTTTCACACACTATTCATTTTTACGGTTTTCTTACGTCCCTGCAAATTGCAATCTTCAAATATTTAAATGCAACGTCAATCACCATTTTCTGTATTGTTCAATCCTGTTGTTGTAGTGCATTTCGCCTCCCTAAAATCTTCCCATTCTCTTTCTCAATTTCCCCTCGTGTTTTAGTGGCATTGTCACCTTGCTCAGATTAAATAATTAAAAAGGCTTACGGCCAATCACGTTGAAACACCGGTTCACGTGCGATCACCGAAGTTAAGCAATGTCGATCCTGTTCAGTACCTAGATGGAATATTATGTGTTGAAATTTTGGATGTGCGAATGGTGTATTGGATAATGCCGCAGAATTGTTAATCGAAGAGACGAGTTCCATTTACCCTCTAATCAACCCATAGCTAGGGGACAGAAAAGGTGAATTCATACTTTGTTCCCAAAGGTAAGTACATGTAACAAATTTACTTACATTTGGGAAAAAAGTATGAATTTATCTCTTCTGTCCCCTAGCTATGGGTTGATTAGTAAAAGTAAAATATCACTAAACCATTATAACCTCCCAAAAAGACTAGTACAATCTAAAAATATTTCCTGGCTTTAAATAACCTGCAATGTGTTGATAAGCCGTAGAAAACGAATCAATCAATGATTAAATTAAATTGTTTCTGTCTCTCTGAAAATAGCTTTCTCTTCATTTTCAAAACATTTCTAACAAATTCGGTTCACTATGTCAAGTAAGATAATTTTTCTCTCAAGAATATATCTTACATATCTATAGGTCTACCATTCGTCCATGCTTAGAATATTGCTGCCACATATGAGCCGGTACCTCTGCTAATTACTTGGATCACCTCGATAAGATCCAATGAAGAATCAGCTACATTGTTGGTGCTGATCTGGCGGTACGGCTCCATTCATTTTGCCATCGCTATAAGGTTGCCTCTCTGTGTCTTTTCTATAAATACTTTCATGGTAAATGTTCAGATGACCTTTTCGCCAGGGTACCTAATTTTTTTTCTATCTACTGTCCTCCTGATTAATCTCTTCTCATTCTGCTTACCATTATTGTTTCTGTTTCTAATTCTTCCCCACCCTGTAACACCTTGTGTTTTAGTGGTTTTACTACTTTGCCTGGGGTGATACCGATTAAAATTATAAAAAGATGTTCTCTATTTGATCTTGAAGTTTACACAAAATAAACTCATATTTTATATCTAAATATTAAATCTTAATTGACAACATTGACAACAAATTTACATTGAATGCTATGAAGTATTTTGGTATTATCAGGGTGACCAAAAAAACGGGAACTTTTTAACAATCCAATAAAACCAAGAGTGATGGAAGAAAAATATTTTATTCATAGTAATTGAAACCTTAAAACATGCCATTTAAGAAACAATGATGGAATTCTTTAAAAAATTACGTCTTGCAAATGGCGTCTTCCCGTAAGAATGCATTCTTGAAATCTGCTGTTGAGATTCCTCATTGACTGCTGCAACATCTCAGCTGGGATACTGTGAATTTCATATTGAATTCTCTGGCAGATCCAGTCTCTTCAAAGTTATTAATCCAACATTTTATCGTGTGTTTTGATGCGACAGCACCATGACGTCCTAAGTTGTAAATACGTCGGAACTCCCTCTGTACAGCTATCAAACTATCACCGTTTTTATAAAACATTTTTATGGTTAACGCACGCTGTTGTCCGTTCCATTGATCCATGGTTACTAAAATGGCGAAATGTTTACTTGCTCAAGGTCACTGTCTTGCAGTGTTTTCACTTGCTCATGTCTGGCAATACGCACTTCAAAAATTTCCGGTTTTTTGCGGTCACCCTATGTAAAGGGTGTTCCAATCACTTGGTCCGATTTTAAATGTGTATTAAGTTTAAGCGTCTAATGATTTTTTTTTCTTTTTCTTTCAGATTTGGCGGACATTTGGGCAATATTATTTTTCACACATAATTGTCATGACTTAAGTAACATGATTCAATAGAGAAATAAATACATTTTCACTAATTTTCACTGATTTATTTACTG